AAACAAATTTACCATTCCTATAGGCGTACACAGGCCCCTCCCGTAAAAACTCTATTACCACCTTTCCCGTAAGTCAGGCACCTATGGCCGGGGTTCTTTACACGATCTTTGCCATATTTTTGAGCTAGTTTTATATGAAATATGATTGAATTTTTAAGGGCATCGAAAATCAATGAGAAAAATACATGCCACTTAAGTAGCCATTTTTTACAAAGTGTGGTTTTTGCATGCGGCAGGAAAGAAGTTCGTTCGAAAGCCGGCAGGCTGTAGACTGATTAATTTTACAACCCAATTTAAGTAGTCTTTCCGAAACGAAGACGCATTTCAGAATTTCTGTTAACATTTCATGAGTTAGCACACCTACTGTACGCTTGAGATGGCCCTGACAGGATGAGAGAAGGATTGGCTGTGTGACCTACGTCTTGGCACGTGATTGGTTGGCCCATGGGCCGAGTTGTGCGCCATTATCAGGGAGCGCCAGGAACGACGTGCGCGGGCTGGCGCCTGCTCGTGGACGCAGCCGTGACTCGGCGCAGTTGGACAAGGAACGCCTCCGGTCAGGACTGAGCGGAGACCTTGCTTTAGCTGCGCGCCTGATGGCCAGCTCGGTTGCCGAGGCCGTCGACTAGCAAACGCTGGAAGGCTCCTACCGCTGCCCCAGTTACCCAACGAAATGAAGGGGTTGGTAGGTCGATCAGGTGTTGGTCGGTGAATCGCAGGAGGGCCGCCGCCAGTAGCTGTTGGTGTTACCGTCAGCGGTTGAGCACTGTGTTAGGGTGAGACCGGTTCGCCGTCCTCGACGTAGACCGAGTTAACACGCTCACTTGTGACAGTATCATTCTTGTGTTGTTGTCGATGACAAAGTCTGCCTTAGCTTGTTGAAAAACCTCGTACGACCCATTAAGGGCAGCTGTCGTGGTCGACAGCGGCAGGCCGGACCATCGCGCACTTTCATGTGTCCAGGCCGGCAGGAATGAAGAACCTGGCCGGTGAGACCGGATGGGGTGTCGCGAGGAGATTGTATCTGGTGTTGCGTGGTCGGTCCACTTAACTGCCAGGATCAGGAGATACTAGTGCATTTATTGGAGACTAAATCACCCGCAGTCGTAGGTTAGGTTCGTTCGCTAGATCGGCTGCAATGCAACCTATATCTTCATTGGGAGAGGAATCAAAGGACAGCAACATTAAGGGGGGGTTATAGGACCGTCGAAAGGAATCGGGCTGAGCCTTCAGGTAAGCGATTTGTCTCGGGATGGTATGCCGGCCACTTGCGACGATCGCTGGACGCCTAATGCTGCTGGCTGGGGTCTCATCCCTGAGATGGCGCCTGTTTATGGACGCAGCCCAGACTGGGGGCCTCAAATCAAGTCTGAGGGTGACCCTGCCTTAGCAGCACCCCTGTAGGTTAAGTAGGTTGTCGTAGCCGTCGACTGAGAGCTACACAAAACACAATAGTGTATTGCAGCTGTTCCTACGAAGTCTCCCACCTACTGAGACCTCTCACGTCCAACTCGCTTTCTGGCTAGTGATAAACAAATATTTCCGTCCAACACAGGCGCTGGTTATGCAGGTTTATGCCGCTGGACATCAAGCGCTATAGGGCACAGCAACGTCTCCCTCACTAGGACGGCCTAGAAGATTTCCGTTCAGCCCTAAGTTTTTGCAGAAACGTCCCTGCCAACACTAAATCGACCAGTGATTTCCCTCGTCCCAAATGAGACAAACTGCCGTAAAATTGGTGAAGTCAAAATTGGGTATCGCAGTGATTGCTAGTATGTGTTTCAGAAGTTGGTAGGAGGTGTGTTCTGCCAAACATTCACAAATCCTTTCAGAAGCAATGACGCCCTTGGAAAGTTTGGAGAAAGTACGGAAAGGGCATGGCTTATGGTCCGGATTACTTACTTCGGGGAGCATTTGTGTTGAGCAAAAGAGCTGAACGTTTAAGGACTTTGTTGTATCACAAAATTCGATCCTCTGTATTTGTTGCGAGTGCCTACACTCCCAAAAACAAGAGCCAACCAATCACTGGAGAGTACGTGCGTTTGCTCTCTCTACAGTGCTGTCATCTTAATCAGGCGCCTCTCCATTGGCTATTCCCTTCTTCCCGAAGGTCATTGGGCGGAATTCCGGCGAACCACAGAAGGGTGTTATAAATAAGCGTTACCTTTCAACTAGTTGTGACTTGCAGTGTTTTTCTAATACACTTTCCGTGGCTGGCCGTGTTTTCTTTGTTTACCGCTTGGTTTTGGGGACAAGGGTCGAGTGCGTATACGCTCTACCCTCACGCAACAGCCACCGCGAGGTCATTCTACTGCCTTTTCAGGCACATACAAATAAATATCGCCAGTTATTTTCTTTTAGCACAATTTCTCCCCGGAGTAGGTAACCCCGGCCATAAACCGTACCCTTGCAAAAGTTCCTCAGGTCCTTGCGCTCCGCTTGTCAATTATTTGAAATTTCCGTTGATAGTGCGAAGGGGGGATGCGCAGGAATTGATTACGTCAGCAGGGCTTGCCCGGAGCAGGCGTCTGTTAAGGAAACACCAACGTCCTTTATACTTCATGAGTCACTGATCAGCCCAGAAAACCATCCAAAGTCGTCGGCAGTCATCGGAAGCGCAAAGAGATGCAATCAGGACGTGAGATTTTGTGAGAAATTAGTATCAACGTAGATCCACAGTTCGCAAGATGGTTTGAATCCGATCACGGCCAAGGTACCCCGCTTCCTTCAGGACCTCAACTCAGCCATGGCATAATTGTATTTGTAGGTTGATGCTGACGGGTTAAGTGCGTTTGTTTTGTCTCCTCCTCCTCCTGCTCCTCCTCCT